AACCATTGGGGGGGGGGAGGGGGGGGTGCCGGCCGAACCGGGATCATATATAAGGCCTTCGCGTTCCTGCTTGAGTATCTATTTGCAAGGTCGCGTGGCCGCGTGTGCGCCTGTAGTGTGGCCGGATCTGGACCCCTATCGGACATTAGATCCGGCCGAATCCTCGGAGGGGCGAGGTACAGAGAGGCATTCGGATACCCCCCACCCCTACCAGACCATACCATTGAGGGGGGCGCCGGGAACACTCATTCTCACGCAAGTCTCAAACAGCCAGCATCAGTGCAGCCGCGATGGGTCAGCTACAACACATATGTGCTAACTTCTGCAATCATCCTACTCTTCTGATGCCATGCAGGAAATGCATGACGGAATTCAAAATCTGGCTTTCGGAACATGGAAGAAGTCGCGTTCTGTACTTTCTACGGACGGCAACAAATCAAATCTGCCAAGTAAGGCACGCTCCATGCCCAGTCTGTTGAATGACGCCGAATACGCAGACTTGTGGGTTCTTTCTGAACGATGCTGGGTGACACTCCTCGAACTCAGGGGTGCGCGACATGCCTCTGGAACCTGTTGCGACACGCTGCATGTGAACTCTTATGGCTTATAGTTTATAGCGCATCCATAGATCCACCGCAACATAATTGTGGAGCTCGCCTCCTCAGCTACTACAGTAGCACTTGCATGACTCCCAGCAAGTAAAGAAGTCGTGGCAGCGCTTCGTCATGCTGTAGATGTAAACAGAAACCGAAAAGCCGCAGGGTTTGCAAAGCATTTTCGTGACATGACATATCAGTGACATATCTGGTCCCTTTCTCGCTCAGTTCGTCTCGTCACTGTCACCGATATGTCCCAAAGACCTTGGGACCGAAGCAAACGCGGCTCCCAGCCAACAGTGCGCTGCTAAAATACGCACTAAAGTACACTTCCAAACCTGTCCCAACCCCCATTCCCGCGATCGCACCGAGCTACGCAGAACGCATTGGCTTTACCTCTGCTTCCTTTGTGTGGGCACGGATTCTGCTGTCGCCTTAGAGACCGTCCGACCTAAACCTCTTGACTACAGTACAGCCTTTCAACCCTCGGAGCCTTAAACCCTCACGTAGTCCAGCTATGTGTATCAGCACCCTCAGACCCCGCATCGGAGCATCCGGTTTTCCAAGTCCCTGAACCAACGTGACCCTCAACTCCCAGCCCTGGGACTCGTGAGTCGCTAAACGGTTCCCCAGAATTCGCGAAACTGGGTTCGCCAGCAAAGGTCAACTTGCGGCGCTGTAGACGCGCCCGAGGTCGCTTGAGCACCCGCCAGCTACGTGACTTCGGCGAATTCTTCAGTTCTACAAGATTGCTGGTCGCAGCTGCAAGAATACTCAGCGCAATCCGCAAGCCGCCTCGAGTACACCTGTTCGTGGACCTCGTCCTTCCAGCACTGCCATGACCTGCGAGGAAGATGTGCTTTCATGCAAGTGGGCATGGCTTGATACACTCTGATACACTGTCTCCAGGGACTCGGCGAAAAGAAATACCACACACCAGCATGGTGTATATCTTGGCAATGAAGGAAGCTGCACGTTTGCATCGGGGAGATCGACTTGGACCGTCACACAGCAGAGTCTGCCAAGACCTTGGCCACAGTGTCCACGACCTGGTCTCGACATGTCTTGGCATGCCTAGTTGTGTTTGCAACTCGGACGTTCGCAGGGGCGTTGGGGCCCTGCGTCGTCGCCAGATCTGGGCAGCGTGGTATCTAGGAAAGTGAACCAGTAGTGACCTCTGGATATCATGATGCGGCCGGGCTAGTCGCGGAGTCATGCCACAGAAACCGCAAGAAAGCAGAGACGCCCTGCATCGTTCAATGAGTTCAATGCCTGCAGCTCTTGCTTCGACTATGCATCCGGCCAGCGCAGCCATCCATTGATCCAAATGCTGCATATCGCAAAGCTCGTTCTGCACGAATGACACGGCCATCCTAGTCAGAAGCCGCGGGGTCAAGAAGCAGACTGGCATGTCAATTTCCTTTGCAGTCCTCTCTTTGCATCTCTGACAGCTGCGCCACCACGTCAGAAGCAGAGTTCAGCACAGCAGCCGTGGCAACATCCTAACTCGCAGGCATCCATGCAGACTTTGCATGTACGCCCCCCCTTGTAGGTGCAAAGCAGTGGCCAGACCCTGCGAATCCAGCAAGCTTTCGTATCCTGCAGCTTCCGCGTATGTGTTGCACCCATAGAGGCTAACCAAAGTGCTGTTGGGTCTTGTCCTTCGCCCCAAACGGAAACGACGAAGGGGGCTAAGAATCCAGGATAACATCGTCTGGAAAAACATTCTTGGCAGTTCCTTGCCATGCAGACTCCGCCACAGATTGCAGCTCTGGCATAGCACGGCCTCGTGAGAGAAAAGCTGTCTTCAGTCAGTGCTAGCTGGTAGCTGAAGTTGGTCAGCTTCAGATCTAGATCAACCATGAGCTGGTAGAATAAGACTATATCGCCCGTATTTTTGGCGGAACATGACTTGGCAGATCGCTGACATGAAATGCCAGTGCTCGGGTAGCCATTAATTGTTCCAACATTACCAGATTGTCGATGCTTTTCCACTATGGTTCTCCTTGCACAAAACGAGCTTACAGAGCCCGGGATGTGTTGGAGTTCAGGCTGTTAAGAGAAAGCTGATTTTTGCTTTCGCTACTGTCTTTGCATAATAAGGGCCTGACAGTACACACTTCGTTGCCGATGCCGACGTGCGGTCTCCTTGGCCTGGCTCCATGCCGCCGGATGAGAAGCACCGGATTGGTAGGAAGGCTCCAAAATACCCATCCTTCTGGATGTTTCTCGGGCCGATTGAGCGCTTCCAGTGAGCAAACGTCAGCTGCCACTGGTCAAGGCATGCCTGGGTATGGCAGTTGGCTTGGCCTCGTGTGATTAGCTGTGGCTCTCAGACACCTCGAAACTCATGTTGTTTATCTGAGGCGGGCGCATACGCCAGCAAGGTGACCTTCAGCGACAAAATGGTTCAGACCCGATGTGTACTATATACCGTTTTTGCCTATGGACGCACATTGCCGGAACTTTGGAAAATAACATTCAATTCAGGACTCGACAGCCCAGAAAACCGACCGCTTGTGATTCAGCTTCCATCCCATTGCCCGATAGGTTTGAGAGCCAGGATGGCGCTCCTTCCAAGACACATGGTTAGGTTCTCTTCAAACAACATGGCCCGATCAAAAAAAAGATCGTAGGGCGTGCACTATGTAGCTTGAGTGTACTTGTCAGCTAACTAACCCCTTTCTTGGGCTGACAGCTCCGGGACTTCTGAGATCTTCTGAGCAACCTGAACTTCATCAAAGCTGTCTCTTGCTGGTGCCATGTCCAAACAAGACTTTGCAGCACCGCACTTCTTTTGAGCGCGTGATGGCTCGTGCATCCTCGCAGTCTGTGTGCACACTCGTCGTTGCACTCGTCGCCCACAAACAGCCAGCTGCTGAGCCTTTAAGCCTCGGCATCCAAGCTGAGGCTCGACAGAGACGGACCAAGGCGAGGGGGAAGAAAGCCCCGGGCTGTTGCGAGGAAACGATTATCGCGCTTGAGCCTGCAAAACTGCTCAAGGTAAATATGCGAGTCGCACATCTCGAGTCACGGCATGAACATGCTCACCTCGTCCTGTCGCTTTGATTCGGCTGGAGACCTTTCTCAGGGTTCAGCAGGTCTCATACGACACACCGCGCCTCAACCGAACGTCCACACGAAGCTGCCTCCCAGTGAGCTGAGGAGACCTCAATCACAAACACTTGCAAGACAAGCATGCTCACAAGCGCTGGAGACGACAATGTTGTAGTTGTAAGCATATGGCAGGCGCCCCAGGGCATGGTGGCGACACCGATCCCTGGCGAGCCACATTCCGACAGACCGTGTGCACTCTGACGCCGACCGCACTGTTTTATCGTCCCCTGCATAAGTCTGCACGACCCAGTCGCAAGGTCACGTCATGCGACACGTTTCGGCAATGTCTCACTGCAGCGATTCGGGAGCCCCTACCACATGCTTCTCTTGGCTCAGATTCTCAGAATCCGCCTGTAGCAAAGACTCAGAATTCGTAGCCTCCTTCTCCAGGAAATCCAAGAATGCATTGCCGAGTGGCTCAGCAAGCCGGGCTTCAGCAGCTGCCGCTGCAGCTTTCACTTGTGCACGACTTTTTTGAGCCTCCTCCGGCACGCCGCCAAGCACGTGAAGTGCTTGAGCTAAAACCTGCTCAGCCAAGGCTCGCTGCCCGGAAGCAAGGTGCTCGTGATACAGTGCAAGCATGGAGGCGACCAGACGACGATCCACCAAAAACTCTTGGTCTTCAAGTCTGCGTCCCTTCTCTTCTAACAAAGCCTCCAGAGCTGCAGACGTCTCCTTCAGCTCCGCCTCTACAGCTCTACATCGACTTGAAAGCACTGACATGTCAACCGAAAGAGATTCCGGCTCCTCTGGAGCCGGAACCCCAACCGCAATCGCGGAGGCTCCGCCAGAGGCTCTAGCTCCCGCGGCCTGGAGCTCGCGGAGCTCGCGCTTCAAGCTGGCATTCTGCTCGTGCAGCGCGCCCTGTTCCTCCATGATTTCCTCCAACTTCAGCAGAGCGTCTGCAGAAGCTTGCAGCTCTGCATCTTTTTGCCGGAGAAGTTGTTGCAGCTGCGAGCGCTCCTTCGACTCAATGCCCTGCCGTCGCAAAGCCGCCATCTGTTCCTTGAGCTCTGCATTCTCGGAGGAAAGCTGCTCTACGCGACAAATGGCTGCTTGGTGCGCACTCCGCCAAGCCTCGGCTTGTTGAGCCAGAGCTTCAAACTGAACATTCTTTGATGTCAGATCTCGACATCTCCGCTGGAGTGCCATGTGCTCCTCGAGCAACTTCTCGTACCGCTCGTTGAATGACGTCAGGAGCCGCTTTGTTTCACTGGGGGCGTGCGACGACCCAGCTTCGAGTGCGATTTGGGGCAATGCCTGCCTTAAGACTTTGCAGCACCAGCTGGCCACTTGCGCAGTGGACAACTCGGTGCCCTTCTCCGAGATGGCCTGAATTAGATCTTGCGACGCCTCAGAGCCAGCGCCGAGAAGCTGCAAGCTGTGTTTCAGACCTGGGAGTTCGCAGAGCTCTGCGAACTCCTTTAATGCTTCATGTTGCTCGTGTTGGCATGGGTCAGCTTCAGAGTCCCCAGATACAGATGCACACACTGAATCTTCGCCTTTCAAGGTGGCTGGCTGCTCAAACGAATTCAGAGGGCTAGGTGTCGGGATCCGTGAGCTCTGCTGGCCGTCTTCTTCGTCATCGTCGTCTCCGACGGCATCGACTAGGGCATCCTTGATTTCGCCCAGTGTGGACTGGGCCAAGGCTTTCAGCGACTGCATGGTGGAGAAGCATGGCACACATCGAGTACTGCTGTGCTAGTTTGTGACGCGGCTGCGGTAGTGAAGGCACTGAGCAACTCAAGCCTGCTGACACTGCCAATACCTTGGCACGATCTGACGCTGTGCTTGCACATTGCTTTGGGTCTCTGCCTCGCTTTTGCCGCCCGCAAGCTCTTTACAAAGTCAGTGCCACCCTGCAGCTGCACTTCAGGGTGGTCTCCGCTTCATCGGCTATCTAGGCCAATCTAGGCTCGCCGAATGCCCATCACCTGTCGCTCTGTTCCATCACTAATGACTTTCAACTCAACATTCAAGCGTTCGGCGTCAAGTTGCTCGATGTAGGGGACTGCTTGAAGGATCGCCTCGCGGTACCTCTCTTCCGCTTGCTTGTTCCCCAAATCCTGCATTGGATTCCGCTCCAGATATATGGTTTTCAACGAAGGAAAGGATGCCAGGTTGGCAATCTGCGCCAGGTCCTCGATCTTGTTGTCGTTCATCCAAAGCTCTTGCAGCTTCTGCAACTCTGGAATGGGCTTTATCTGAGTGATGGCATTTCTCACTAAGTCCACTTCAACCAAATCTGTCAGCAAAGCAAACTCGTCAGGAAGGTCAGGCAGGTTGTTATGGCCGAGGTACAAGTGGGTCAGGCCAGCAAGATTGCGAAAAAACGAAGGCTCCCAAGACTCCAGTCGATTGTTTTGCAAGCTGAGATGTCGCAGGGCAGGCAGTACTGGCAAAGACATGCTTGTAATCTTGTTCTTGCCCAGCCAAAGCTCTTTCAAATTCACAAGGGACGAAACCTGCTCGGGGATGGCTCTGATCCTGTTGGATCCAAGCTCCAACATCTTCAACTGGGTGAAATGGAAGATGCCCTCCACGTCCACAATCTTGTTGCTTGACAAGTACAAGTTCTCCAGGTACTCGAACGGACAAGCTGCCAGTGGCTCTGTGCTGCGGATCTTGTTGAATGACAAGTCCAGCACCGTGAGGTTTCGCAAATGGCTGATGTTCTCGATTTTCTTCACCATGTTCTGATAGAGCCTTGCTTTCAGTCAACATTGAATCAAGCTAAACTCGAGCAAACCCCGAATGCATCATCTTCCAGCAGAGAGTCTCCAAATGCACAAGGTTTGTGTTGGTCTCCAGGTTCTCAATCTTCTCGACACAATTGGCGACCAAGCCTCTCAAAAAGCAGAGTTGCAGCATGTCTCTTTCTGGCTTGATGCATGGACAAAGCTTCCGGTGCAGCCCTAGAAGAAAGCCAGGCGGCATAATTTTCGAAGCTTCCTGACAGGCACGCAGTTGAGGCAGTTGACAATACAAACCGCACTACTGCGCGGGCGCATCGGCATGACATGAGATACAAGCATGTCTCGTGCCGGACGTCGCCAAGTTTTAGCCGCGGGTCTTTCCAACAGCCTCTAGATTTTCCAGCTTCCTCAGTCGGGACCGACAAAACTTGGCCGGACATCGAACAACTTCAGCCATGGCTTTGGTACAACTTAGTAAAGGAAGTTATGTTGGGAAAGAGTGTCCCCCTTGCCCGTCTACAGCGGACAGCTGACAGCAGCAAGTAGGAATCCAAGCAGCTTGATGCGCGCACACTGATGCATGACCTCGTCGTCGTCAGCGTCAATAGGGTAGTCGATGCCAAGGCGATAATATGTAGGACCATCATCATGATCATGATCCGGAAGCTGAACTCTTGTGCGTCTGGCACTTGGGCCCGCTGGAGGCAAAGGTGGAGGTGGCACCTCCTCCACATTAGGGCCCTCTGCGCCCGAATCCACGTCCATTGCTGCTCTATAGTGGTTTCTGAAGTTGTTTACGCCGCGTCGAGTCTCGTGCTGTCAAATGTGCAACAAACTGTCTGACCTTGTCGCTCGGAAAGCCAAAACGGCTCTTGTTGAAGTCCGCTCTTCACCTTCCCTACGAAGTCCGTTAGCTTTCGAGGTCAAGACATCACAAGTTCTTGCATCTAGTTGCCTGCTCCCTTGATGACGCTGGATCCCTATCTGTTGCGCCCCTTTGCAAGCATTGAGCATTTAGGACCTCCCGCTTTCACGGGAACAGTATACCGCGGTGCTGTCTGCATCCTGACGAAGACTTCCCTCGCGAGTTGTGTATTGCTTCACGGCCACATGCAACTTGTGGCTTCGGACATCTTCGGACATATTGGATACTTTGTATGGTGTAGTTCTCTTGCTGTCGCGGTTCCTGAGTTTCGCACAACATGACGCTACATAGGTTGCTGTATGCCAAAGTCATCGCGCCTACTCCCGGATCAGGAGCTCCAGGCGAAAACGGTGCTGCTGTTGGAGCACCAGGGGCATTAGCCATGTGCATGGCCCGAACCTCAGCAAGACAGTAACGACCTACTTGCAGCACGTCAATGAGATTCTGTGCTGTCATCTTCACTTCACACCGGCAGATGTGCGTGCCGAGAGCAGCACAACAGCCTGCTGGCCGGCAGCTCCAGCCTTGGTCTCGGCTTAACGCCCTCAACCCAAACCTTCATGAGCCACCTGTAAAGATTTGGCAGCGACAAATCCCAGCCTTCGCAAACTCAGGCAAGTACAGCAGATGCAGCCATCTCTGCATACTTTGCAGCATTCATGGCGCGCTCCGACGCTGCCTGGATCTTTGACGCGATTCTTGCCATCTCGGATTGGCAGCCCGTGGTTCCAAGCAGCGCACCGAGGCTTGACGGATAAGGTTGAGCAGGTCCTGACTCAATGTATCAACATGTCTTATCGGCATGTGGTTTACGTGGGAACTACGTAGGTCTGATTCCGGATGTCCTCAAATTGCCCCGGAGGCACATATCCTTGACCTGCAATCGCCGTACCGCATCAATGCAATCTCCCTGCAAGCCCTGTTTAGGGTGGCTAACTAACTGAGCACGGCACTCATCAGTCCGCCATAGCTGGCAGTCGTTGGATTCGCAAACCTTTCAGAAGGCTCACCAAACAATCGAAGGACGGCTGCGACTCTTCTGCCCAACTATTGGTCCCAAGCGATGTGGAGCACCACGGTATGCGATGTCCTAAGTTGCACGAGAAAAATCAGCAGGCTCGTCCAGGTTTCGTGCGGATGGGGCTTCTCTTGTTTGAGCCATGGGCTTGGAACCATGATTGGCAATGGACAACGTGGAAAGTGCCGTGATTGCTTTCACACTAAACGCGGCTCTCCTGAAAGCAGGCTTATATGATCTTTCCTTACGGTGCTCGGAATCCACCGTTCTTGCCTGGAACTGCTCAGCAGTGAGCCGACGGAGAAGTGCAGGGCCAAGAAATTTCAACAAACGTTGAGCTGGGGGACTGCACAAGTCGTGCTGGAAGCACATCACGGGTGGATGCGCACAACGTTCAAATGAATTTCCACTCGGCCATGGTCGAGCGGCCCATCGCCTTTAGATCGGTAATCACCAGAGACTGCGAGAGACCCAAAGTAGGACATCAGCCTTCCACATGAGTATGCCTACTAGTACCCTCTCGAGGTTTGTGCTTATGTGCTTTTCTTGGGTCCTACAAATCGCAAGCATCATGTGGATGACTATATCCGGCCGCCCCCAATCTATGTCTCTCTCTCTCTCTCTCTTGACCGCCTCTCCCCCACGAACACGCACCGACATCACATGCTGATCAAAACGAGCGATGTGATGATACAACTGTGGACACTGGACCTGGAAAGTCTTCCGGCCCTCCCACATATGAACCAGCGACTTCTGTCGGACCTTTGAAGCGTTACGAGTACTGCTCTGGTGCAAGAAAGGCCTCTGCTAGATTTCAACTATTAGCCGATTGAAGGCATGTCGCAACGCACTTTTTTCGGAGATCTGCGACTGCTTTGTCTAAAGCTGTCTGCAGACGTGAGCATTGCATGGGCCCACGGCTGTGGAATTAATCCATGTCGTTGAGGCCGGTCTCGGGCATCCGCACGGAAAGTATGGCATTGGTTGTGGATGGCTCTCCCGTGCTGGCACTGCCCAACTGCAATGCGCAAGCAGCTTCTGGTGTTAGCGGACAACCTTCGCCGTTGGCACCAGGGCCACCCGCCTTAAGTGCCATTTCGCAACGGACTGCAAGCCTCAATGTCTCCTCCGCTTTACCTGGTACATATTTCGACTTTGCGTGTGCCAGGAGTGCGTCTTGCCGTGCTTTGTTGAAACTGCCCTGCTGCAGCGACGTCATCGAGCGAAGAATTAGGGCATCTACCAGCGTTTTTTGAAGCAACGAAATCGCAAGGGGTTGCTTGTGGGTGGAATCGAGAGCCGCACTGCAAGCACGCACGGCCTGGGACGAACGCTGCATTGCCAGGCTGTATGACTGGCAGAAGTATGCGATTCTGGCCGCCGAACTCCTGCAATGCGAAACTTCGATAGCATGACCCACAGAATGAAGCTGTGTCTCGTCGTTGGCACCATCCATAGCCAGAACACGATGGCAAATGGTGTCATACTCATTCAACGCAACACCTGCCTGCTGGAGGTTTACATCATGATCAAGTCCTGCATCAACACTTGCATCTGCAAGACCACATTCCTTCAGCTTCGCATCTGTTTTCAACCGAAGATCATGTAAGCACACGAAAGCCCTCATCATTCCTTCCTCCGTGTGGGGGTTGTCCGCCACATCATCATCCGAACTTGCTGCATCTGCATCGGCATCCGCCGAAATCTTCTGGAATCTGGCGTAAGACTCCCAGGCCATGCTGCGTAGCAGTTGGCATCAGAACAATCACATTAAGAACCGCCTCCGACGTGACTTTTACTTGCCTGATCTGAAATGAGCCTGAGAATATGTGGGGCCTACGTCGTCGCACCAACAAGTATCAGTATTACTGAACGTATTTCCAAAATCAGCCGCTACAACTCCCCTCTGGTTGACACTCGCAACTTAACCGACAGTGCTATTGACGACACTGTCTGATACCAATCTGTCTTGAGCTGTCATCTGCAAAGAACGCAGGGAGGGCGGACGGCTGGGGAGTTTGCTGTGACGGAATACTCGGCTGCATCCGAACAAATGAACATGACATCCAGCACCCAAGCCGGTGTAGTCAGCCTGCAAAACCCAAGGTCATGGAGTCATGGATGGGCAGGTCCATGCGCATAAGTACAAAGGTGGCTGAATCACTCTATTGCATCGTACTCTCAAGCGGCGGCCGACGCATAGATTTGCTAATCATGTGCACTAGCGTCCTAAGCCACAGCCCTGTACGGCCGACCTCGACGGCGCCGCCCTCCGGACAGCAAAGCGACGCAAGGCCGCGACCTACCCGGAGCTCCGGAGCGAACTCGTCGTGCTCGGCAGTGAGGTTGGCGGACGCTTCAACGGCGACGCGCACGGCCTGCTCCGGGACCTCGTTCGGGTGCGCCCGTGCAGAGCGCCGCCGGCATTGCGAGCTGCTGCAGCTTCAGGGTGGACACGACGATGGTGGAGCATACTTTCCGTCGCTGCGCAGCAAGCGGTCACGAGCACAGCCCTCGGCAGGCCGTGGCCGCTACCGCCGCATGCAGCCCGCGCGACAGGCCCGCCCCTCGACCGCATCCTCGACCTGGCAGAGGCCCGCGCCCAGCGCCGTAGCCGTGGGTGTGCTAGGCCTAGCCGTAGGACCCGCCGAGCAGGCACGCAGGTGCACGAAGTGGGCAGGAAAAAGGTGCGTAAAAAAAAAAAGAGAAATTTGGGCTCGCTACACACACACTCATGGCTAGAGACTACATCGACGTCTGCACAAAGATCGCTGGGCGAGAGCTAGTGGCTAGCATCCCCCGGGAAGGGGCATATGAAATGTAGGATAATGAGAAAACGCCTGGGATAGGGCGATGGGATGTGCACGGCGCTATATTCCGGGCAGGAATGCCGGCTAGAACAGTGTAACAGGCTTATGTCATCGGCGTATGTGGTACGCGCTAGATCACATGGCGAGCATGGCCACACGTGCGATAATTGCAGGAAGGCTTGAGGCCGCGGCAGCCGCCGCCAGGATACAGATGGAAAGGGAGCCCCTAAGAAGCTGGAGAAAGGAAATGCTAGCGACGGCCCGGAGGGAGCCGGCTGGTGAGCTCGGCTGGTGAGCTAGCATCAACCTTCGCGAATACAGTTGCTGGGCTAGAGAAACAAGGGATCGATCTGAGCTTGCAAAAACCTCTTATCCATGTGGCTAGGAGTGTGCGTGCTAGGTCAAGCCAGACAGCAGGCAGCAGAGGGAGAGCTTTCCAAAAAGAAAGGAGGGGAAACTGGGGAGTTGGACCGAGAGGGCGGGTTGGCTCTCCGGGCGAGGCCCCGTTGCTGGTCTGGATACTCGTGCCTCTTACTCCGGGAGAAATCTTGTTCGGGAATATAATATATATTCCTATGGCCTTTCAATTTCGATCAATCAGCGCGACACCCTAATGCAGTGAAGGTGAAGTCCAAGGCTGAGGCACTGGGCATGCACGCTCAAGGGAGGCGACTGGCGATTGATGGCGGCTCAGCACAGTCAGCGCCAGACAGCGGCAAAGGGAGAAGGCTGGCTGGCGGCAAAGGACCGAGCAGCGGCGAAGGACAGCAGCGCGGACCAGCGCAACACGAACGCAGATGCGGTCGCTGCAGGTGTGGCGACGGGGGCAGCGCGAGCTCGGCTTCGGGCCAACAGTCGGGCGAACTCAACGGCACTTGGAGACCAAGCCCCTCAATGTCGAGGACAACCAATCGGCACCGATTGCCTTGCGCGAGTTCAGGATAAATCCGTGCATATCCGTGCTTTTGGGCGACCCTGAAAGCTGCACCGGCAGTGATGCCTTTGTCACGGCGTCCAGCAGCCGTGAGGGGCGACACCAGGGCTGTGTCGAAAGGCAGGCCGTTAGCAATGACTTCAATGCGCCGGTCGTCCGGCCGAGCGGGGGCAACATTGTGACGTCGCGGCAACTGTCGCCCCTGCCTCCCCGCAAACACGCGCAGCAGCTCGCTCGAGGGGCCGCCACGCGAGCGCGACACGCCGGAGCGCGGGCAAGCCGCAAGGTGGTCACCGGATGCATCATGTGGCTGGCAGCGGCGGCATCTGGCTGCGGTGAGCGGGAGGGGCATGCGCAGCCGCCTCAGCAGAAGGGCTCGGAACAAAGGCGACTGCAAGGTGAGCTCGGGTGAAGTTGGCCTGCAGTGAAGACGCGGGCCGCATAGGGTCGCGCCTGTGACTCAAGCAGGGCAGCTGAGGGCGCATCCAGCTCACGAAACAAAGCCTTGTGGCTCGAAAGATAGCCCTCTGGGCCGGGCGTACCTCCGAGCTAGGGCGGAGTCCTTTCCAAGATGGGTAAGGAGGCCTTTGGCTAAGGGTTCAGCGGATCTCCGCTATCTGCTCTGCCAGCGCCGAGTGGATAACAAAGCCAAAGCTACATTGTTGAAGCCTGGAGTAAACACTTGCGAAGTTCCGAACTTCACCAGCGAGAGCGACCTTAAAGCCGCGCTGGCGAAGGATTTCTCGATGGAACGAGAGGCTAGCCTCACGCTCTGGCGGCTAGTTTCGTGGTGGCGCGGCAGACAGTACAGGCGAGAACCAAGAACCAGGTCGAGCTAGAAACAGTCAACGAACTAATATGAACTAATAGAGTGGGCTCAACCCATCTCAAACAGATTACATGGCTGTGAGATGCTGTGAGGGCCGCTTTCTTGGCTAAGTTTGGAGAGCCGAAAAATAAACACGCTCCTGCCAAGAATTACATTGACAGGAAGCTCCATGAGCTACAGACCGGCGAGTTTTTTTCCACACCACACACCTGTATGCTGTCCACGCGGTCCCAGCGCAGGTCAGCCAAAATCAAGGCCAGACTATGTAGGCATGTCAGGGCACGCGGCTGGCAACAGGAGGCAAGGCCGATGGTTCGGCGAGAAGGTCGCTGAGGAGCGGAGGATCGCCGTCGACATTGGCTGAGGAGGCTGGTCGCGAAGGCACGGGCAGCGGCAAAGGCAAGCAACAGGACCACCGAAGCATGTAAGCAAATATGCATGCACTCCTTGCAGTGGTGGGGGTGCAGACCGGGCGCGGCAGCGCGCGAGGAGCCGGGGGAAAGTACCAGCTTCGGGGCACCACCTGCCGCCGGTTTTTATGCCCAGCACGACGAGGCGGCAGCGGCCGGAGTTGCAGAGTTCTGGAGAAGTGCGTTTTTTTTGGAGCTCTTTCGAACAGTGACCGCGGTCCCAGTGCATGTTTCAGCAGCGAGCTACGGGAGGGTTCAAGGCGCCGGCAGGCGGCTTGCGACGAGCGGGGGGCCGCCGCGAACCTCGGCGAGGACTTCGTGGAGGTCAGGCGCCGCGCCCGCATCGCAAATGTCACCACCAGGCAGCTCCAGGACGCTGCAAAGGCACGCGTGGCAGCGACCGCAAGGAGGCCGGACCAACGCTGGACCCAGCCTGCACAAGCCTGGCCGCTCGGTGCCAGGCAAGGTGACGGAGGAAGGAGGCAGCTTCAGCACCGAAGCGCCCGCCGACCTCGACCCCGATAACGACGAGACGGGCCCGTCGCGCGCAAGCGAGCTCGGGGTACGTTTAGCGCCGCTTGCGGCGCGCGGCGGCCTGGACGGCCGCGCCAGGGCGCTCGGCGGCGCCCGGCTGCGGCTCCCCGCTCCGCGTGACAGGACTGACGAGCATGGCGTCCAGCGCGAGCTGCGCCCCG